GTTGTGTATATGAACAGCTGTTGATTGCCTTGTACTAATTGATCTTTGCCGAGTGTATGAACGGATTTTCTTTCCTTGAAATGGAAGTGAATTTTCTTTTTCTCGATGGTTACCAGATGTGAATCGACCTTCTCTCTATGGGACCGTCCCATCCAATTTTTCCGGGGTCTTATGTTCACTACGGGTACTGCATACCTTTTTTTTAGAATCTTGTACCTTTTTTAAACTACACAATATGATGCACCCAATTTTTTTGCCAGGGGCCAGCCCAATTGCAGCTAGAAGTCGGCAACGAGCCCAACTGCATGTACTCCCAAGACCCAGCCCAGAGTAGCTCCCCAGTAGCTAGGTGGGCCTGGCACCTCACCAAGGGTATTTGACTTTTGCTATAAAAAAAAGGTATTTGACTTCACCGATTTTCACCAAAGTCCGATTCGCCTCCTCTAATCAGAAAACTGTCTTTCAGGGCCGGTTTGGTAGAGCTTCATCTGATTTTAATTCTCTATAGAAGTTGATTCTCTGAGCAAAGCGATTCTATGGCTGAAAGTGATTCTTTGATTCTTTAGCACAAGCTCTCAAAATCAGGATGACAGAATCAGGAGAAGCTACTTTTTTCAGTTTCCAGCCTCTTAATTCATTTCAGAGAATCACTTCACAGAATCAGCAGAGACTTCTCTCTGAAAAACTATTTGGCAGAGCTCCTGCTGGATTCAACAGAGAATCAACTCTGGGAGCTCTGCCAAACAGGGCCTTAGACTCCATCTTTTGAAGCCTATTGATTTTGCTTCTTGAACGATTTCGAATGAAATTTTACTCATCGACATAGCAACATCCCTTTTGTCTCTCATTCCCCCAACCACTCTTCAACTCCCTCCCTCTCTAGCTTGGATGAAAGAGAAGGGGAAGGAGGTGAAGGAGACTCCAAGGATCGAGCTTCTCGATCATCTCTCCACTTCACAACCATTGAGGAAAGATGCTCTTCATCTACATCCCCATCCTCATCTCCGTTGAGGTGTTTTATGGTGGTCCATGTGCTTGTATGGGCATGGGGACTCCATGGAGTAGAGTGAAGGTCAATCTCCATCAAAAAGTCTGTTTGAACTCAACAACTTCGTGGAAGAGTATGATCCATCTCTCCCAATAAAATAAACGATTTTTTGTGTAGGTGTTTTTGACCTCTGACGAGAAATCGAGCGAATCACACATGTTAAACCAGATGGGTTGTAAATGGAACATGGCTTTATATAGATTCAAGTACAAGATGCCCTATGTCCAATTTATGAAGAATGTTTTTTTTGTTTGTGCACCGAATGTAGGGTTTTGCAGGGACGTTGGTGTTGATGATTCAGATGCCCATTGGTTAGTCCATACCCTTCCTTATATAGACTGGGTTAGGGCTATAGATCGTGTCCTACGATCCATTATAGAATGGTTTCCTAGTCGTTACAAAGAAATCAAATTAGATAAGATTATATGTATGCATTGGTTTCTATCTATAAATTGCATGTCATGTCCATCAAGCCACATGACGCACCCGGGTCGTTTCCTCTTCCGGTTAGTCAGCCTCATCCACCCCTGCTGGGGTGCCGGTTTAGGTCATGATGAGCATACTCGGGACTTCTGTAATCAAAATTTGGGCTCCTCAATTTTTTTAAAAATTTGAATTAAAAGCTTTTCTTATGTTTTTAATATTGGGTTGTACGGTAATTGTTCTTTTGGGCCAAATTTACCTAATGTTTGGAGATATTTTTTTATCTAAGGCACTGCTTTATTGTGTTCTGAGTCCAAAATTATACAATATTTCGCTGCAAAAGACATGTTGTGATTCACAATTATCCACAAGAAAAAAGATGGGGAGCAACACACAAGCACGCTTGAAAGCTCTAGATTTGTTTTGGTGAATTGATGAAACCCTAAATGCTAATCTAGTTTATCAAGTGATCATGAGATAGATAGCACATTCCAAGTGGTGAAGCAAATAAAGATAATGACATGATGATGGTGATGCCATGGTGATGATCAAGTGCTTGGACTTGAAAAGAAGAAAGAGAAAAATAAAAGGCTCAAGGCAAAGGTATAAATGGTAGGAGCCATTTTGTTTTGGTGATCGAGACACTTAGTAAGTGTGATCACATTTAGGATCGATAGTCGTACTATTAAGAGGGGTGAAACTCGAATCGAAATACGGTTATCAAAGTGCCACTAGATGCTCTCACTCATTGCATATGCATTTAGGATCTAGTGGAGTGCTAACACCCTTGAAAACGTTTGTAAAAATATGCTAACACATGTGCACAAGGTGATACGCTTGGTGGTTGGCATATTTGAGCAAGGGTTAGGAACTTCACCGGCGGAGTGTCCGCCCGTAGAGTGCGGACAGTCCGACGGTGCCACCGGCGCCCTAGACAGAAAAGACGGAGGTCACTGTAAGTGACCGGACGCTGGTCTCGGTAGGACCGGCGCGTCCGGTCAGGTGGAGCATGAAGACGTTGGCATCGGTCTTCGACCGGACGCTGGGTCACTTAGTGACCGAATGCTTATAGGGTGCGTCCGGTCCTGCTGACGTGGCAGCGCACAGGGGAGTCGCCGTGTGACCGGACGCTGGGTGTGTCCGGTCGAGCATGACCGGACACGTCTGGTCGTGATTTCTCACTTCTGGATGCTTACTGGAAACGACCGGACGCTGAGGTTCAGCGTCCGGTCACTTTGCAGCAGCGCGTCCGGTCATCACTTGACCGTTGGGATCAGACGCTCAGTATTTGAAGAGAGAGGACACGTGGCGTGCATCGCACGACCGCTGGGTCCTGCGTCCGGTCGATATGACCGGAGCGTCCGGTCACCCCGTGTTGTGCCCAGTGAAGGGGTACAACGGCTCTATTTCATGGAGGCTTCTATTTAAGCTCCATGGCTAGCTCAAGCTCACTCTCTATTTGCATTGACATAGCAACATTGTGAGCTTAGCCAAATCCCTCACACTCATCTCCATCATTGATTCATCATCTTTGTGAGATTGGGAGAGAATCCAAGTGCATTGCTTGAGTGTTTGCATCTAGAGGCACTTGGTGTTCGTGTTTCGCTGCGGGATTCGCTTATTACTCTTGGTGGTTGCCACTACCTAGATGGCTTGGAGCAGCGAGGATCGTCGAACGGAGGTTGGTGATTGTCTCCGGCTCCGATAGTGGTGATTGTGAGGGGTTCTTGACCTTTCCCCGGTGGAGAGCCAAAAGGTACTCTAGTGAATTGCTCGTGGCTTGTGTGATCCTCATCTTGTGTTGGTTGTGCGGCACCCTATTGAGGGTTTGGCGTGTGATGCCAATTAGCGCGTGAACCTCCAAGTGAGTGAATCGCCACAACGAGGACTAGCTTGCCGGTAAATAAGTGAACCTCGGTAAAAAATCATTGTGTCATCATTTGATTTCGAGATGATTGGTCTTCATTAGTATTCATTTTTGTGATTGATTGGCTCCTTCCTCGATACGGCGGTATAACCATCTTGCTCACTCTCTTTATATTACCGCAAACTAGTTGTTAAGCTCTTTAGTGTAGCTATTCGTGAGAGCTTGTTAGTTTGGTTAGTGTGACTCTTTAGTTAGCATTTGAGAGCACACTAACTTAGTATAGTGACATAGCCATTGTGTGGATAGAACTATATAAACTAGAATTGTGATAGGTGGCTTGCATTTTTAGTAGGCTAGCGCAACATTTGCTTCGCCTCATAATTGTCTAGCCGGTTCGTTAAGTGTTGTTGTATAAATTTTTAATAGGCTATTCACCCCCCCTCTAGCCATTAGGACCTTTCAACGCTATATAGTGCAATGGGTCTATGCCCCTATTTGGGACCGCTAATATCACGGTGGCGGTCAAGAGAAGCCAAGAATCCCACCAGACGTCGCGTGGTCTACTCGATTCTTATCATCGCGTCTAATTCAACCATTGCGAGAATGAACTACTAAGATGATTTTACGTATCGCGGTTCCCATACCGCTGCTCATCTACCACAACATGTGGTGAGAGATCATGGTCCCAAACAAGACCTATAAAAGATGATACAATAGGAGTGAGCCCATCCAACGAGAAACTTAGAATCGGGACTGTTATGAAAAAACTACAATTCGTCGTGACGTGGTCGTAGAGAAAACTGCACTCAGATGTCCCAAACAAGGCCACAGCAGGAGTGAGCCCATTCGACGAAAAACTTTGAACCAGGACTATTATGACAAAACTACAATTTGTCGTGACATCATCGTAGAGAAAACTGCACTAAGATGTCTCAAACAAGACCTTTTTTTCTCGAACACGCAAAAGGTTTGCGCGTCTTTGTGTTAAAGTAGAGAAAATGTTTAATACAATACGCCTTAACGGCACTCTATGTGATCCATAAGTTGTATATGAACACTTGGACTCTCTCTACCGTACTGCAAGCTATGCTATTATATTAAACATAGATCAATCAAATTACGGCGCCGACTAGGAGGCCAATGCCCGGAAAGCCAAGCGGGGTCACAAACAAGACCTATAAAACATGATACGACAGGAGTGAGCCCATCCAACGGGAAATTAGAACCAGGACTGTTATGAGAAAACTACGATAGTCCTGATCCACTGATGTCACTGGACTCGCATGCGGCTGCCGCCGAGCCCTCCCGGCGCCATCCCGTTCCTCGCCCACCTCCACCTCATCAAGAAGCCATTCCACGCGCACGCTGTCCGGCCTCGCCCAGCGCCACGGGCCCGTCTTCACCCTGCGCTTCGGCTGCCGCGACGCCGTGGTCGTGACATCCCCGGCGTGCGCCAGGGAGTGCTTCACGGAGCACGACGTGACCTTCGCCAACCGCTCGCTGCTCCCCTCGCAGAGGCTCGTGACCTTCGACGGCGCCGCGTTCGGCACCGCCAGCTACGGGCCGCACTGGCGCGACCTCCGCCGCATCGCCGTGGTGCAGCTCCTCTCGGCACGCCGCGTCGGCGGCATGTAGGGCGTCATCTGCGGCGAGGTGCGCGCCATGGTGCGGCGGCTGCACCGCGCGACGACGACCGCGGGCGGCGGCGGCCCCGCGCGGGTCGAGCTGAAGCGCAGGCTGTTCGAGGTCTCGCTCAGCATCCTCATGGAGGCCATCGCGGAGACCAAGGCGGTGCGCCCGGAGTCAGACGCGGACGACGACACCGACATGTCGCCAGAAGCGCAGGAGTTCAAGCAGGTCATCGACGAGGTCTTCCCGTACGTCAGCTCGGTCTGGTGGGACTACCTGCCGGTGCAGCGGTGGTTCGACGTGTTCGGTGTGAGGAACAAGATCCTGGCTGGTGAGCAGAAGGGACGCGTTTCTGCGGCGGCTGATCGACGCAGAGCGGCGGAGGATGGGCGACGGCGTCTACAGCGAGAAAAAGAGCCTGATCGCCGTGCTGCTCACACTGCAGAAGCTAGAGCCGGAGGTTTACACTGACACCATGATCACGGCTTTTGGCTCGGTGAGGGATTCATTTGTTCCTTCAATTGGGAACGAGCGACTCGAGCTAGTCGCTCGTTTGGTCAGAATCGCGAGCCGCGAGCTCGGCCACCCGGGTTCCAACCCGGTGCCCAGCGTATTTCCGCTCAAAAACGAGTGGGAACGGGGATGCTCCCCGGTAAAAAAAAATGTTCGTTCAATTAATTTCACCCGAAATTCGACTGGTACAGACTACAGAGACGATGGTTCTCTATCACTGACGACGGTTAACGGATCGTTTTTTGAAGAACCTATTTGGAGCTGGAACAGAGACGACGTCGACCACAGTCGAATGGGCGATGTCGCTGCTGCTGAACAACCCAGGGACACTCGAAAAGGCACGAGCTGAGATCGACGCGGCCGTGGGGCGCTCCCGCTTGATCAACGCGGGCGACTTGCCGCGTCTCGGCTACCTCAGGTGCATCATCGCCGAGACGCTCCGCCTCTACCCCGCCGCGCCGCTGCTACTCCCGCACGAGTCGTCCGCGGACTGCAAGGTCGGCGGCTACGACGTCCCGCGCAGCACGGCGCTGTGGGAGGAGCCGGGCAGGTTCGTGCCGGAGCGGTTCAAAGGCGGGAAAGCCGAGGGGCTGTTCGTGGCGCCATTCGGGATGGGGCGGCGCAAGTGTCCCGGAGAGGCGCTCGCGCTGCAGACGGTTGGGGTGGCGCTGGGGTCCCTGATCCAGTGCTTCCACTGGAGCAGAGTCGACGGCGTGGACGTTGACATGAGCGAGGGCAGCGGACTGAGCATGCCCAAGGCTGTTCCGCTGGAGGCTTTGTGTAGAACTCGTGAGGCTATGTATGACGTTCTTCAGAAGCTCTGATAGGACGGACACCTCGGTCGTTCACGGTGTGCACAATGCACTAAGTAAGCTTCTCCTGAGCATGTTCCAGGTCATCAAATGTAAGACATGTTTTAGACTGGCTGACAGAGAGAATTATTATTTAAGAATAAAAAAAAAGACTAAAGAAGCGTCTCATAATTCAAGCATGACAAGACAGGCAGCTATCTCTGTTTGGCCCAGGCGAAATGGACTATGGTGATTCATCGCAGAAACGTACATCTACAACATGTGGCAAACAAAAGAGGCCACGATGGAACAGCCATGATGATGTACACAGGGTAAGGCGCCTTTGTGTCAGTAAGGTATTTTCAACTTTTGGGTCTTCTGCGTCACAATAGGAAGTTTATGGGCAATAAGATTCGGGTCCGCGTACGCTGCAGAGTCTGAAGGATATCCTTTCTGCATTATAGAAAAGAGATAAAATATGAAAATATTCTAGCAATGTCCTCAACTTAACCTTATTGAAAGTAAGGTGCTTGGTAGAGTGATAGCATACCGCAGACAAACTAGCAAATGTTGCTTCCCTCCAGCAACATTCACGGAGTACCCCTGGTTTGGCTCCATCGCCATTTCCAAACGAACAATGTAAACGAGTGTCTCTCAATCTCATCAGTACACCATCAACTCTAAGCTGTTAGATCGACAGGCAATCATCAGTAAGGACAAGCTCGTCATATATGAAGACAAGAATCTTGAAAATCCTACATGTCAAAAACTTGCATCTTAAATGTGGGGGAACACTGCTACACGCTTATTACTCAAACATATGACTATGTTTGGAGGATCTTCAGTTCAAACTTAGGCCTCAATAATTAATATATGCCCTTTCAAAAGTTTTATCTTTTCTTGTCCCATAGGGGATCAGTTTAGCCTACCCCAACTTGCTTGGGACATAAAGGCTTTGTTGTTTTATTTCAAAGGGACAAGCATAGAGTCAATTACAAGAGGAGTTAAGTTATTTATTGATCTCAGCTCTTCGCAAGTTCTCCTGAAAAATCTTGGATTGATGGGAACACTGAGGGCAACAATCTGAATCAGTATTATCACTAAAATTAACAGGTTCCATCCTATATGACACAATACATCACCCTCAGAAATTGCCTCCATACTAATGAGGCGTCAAGTACAAAAATTAAAATGCAAGGTAGTAGAACATACCCAGAAACGCAAAAGCAGAAACCAACCAGTTGGCATTACCCTCTGCACATACACAACCAAGAATCCTATTAATGAGTTGAACCAAAAGACAATTTTGCCACAAACATTACAGTTGAGGAAAAAGGAACAGATAAGCATCATTGGGGATCACATACCACTCGCACTGTAAGAAATGAGATACCATTGTCAGCTAACTCATCTTCATACAAGATAACCTACACACATCCTGTTAGGGGCAGACCAGTATCCAGATAAATTATGAACCATTTGTTCCATTTCCATACCTCGTCGTAGAAAAGAATTGGCTCTTTTGCTGAAAGGGCAACAAGGTCAATCCGATCATTAGTATCCTCCCAACACAAAGTGCTGCATCCATCTAAACTTGCTTGTGTCTGGAAAAGAAAATTGTATGAGCAGGAACTATTTGTCAGTGGACTACACCAGTAAAAAAGTGAAAGGGCAGGGGAACAAATATAGAACTTTGAAATCAGATTAAATTAATTCAGCTGAGATCAGGTCCATACAGTGCCTGAGTTCACAACCACAGCATCACTCCCACAGTATGGTGTCGTAAATGTATAGTCATAATCAAGTATAACCTGGTCAGAAGGCTTACTGCAAGAAAACAAGTTAAAAGAACCTGCGATTAGGCTTTTTTAACAAACTCACAAGGTAAAACATGATATTTCCATTATCTGAATTTTTTTCAGCTAAGACCAATATAAACACATCAAAGTGTATACTATTGTACTTCTCTCGAAACAATGCAGGATACAAACAAAATAAAATCAATTTAATTATATCCATCCACAAATATGTATTTCTGATCAAAGCTTCAAAAATTTTAAGACAAAGTGGACTGCTTTGAAACAGGGTGGGTGATGCCAAGATCAACTAACATCTTTCACTACAAATGCTCAGTAGTATGAATTGAGTAAAAAAAGGAAGTACAGTTATAGATGACCTTCTGAACTTCCATTTTGCTGCAGCAGGAACCTCAACAGGTGGCAGTGCCTCTTTCTTCCATGCCTTGAGTGCATCAAGTGCATTAAAATGCAATTTGATGCCAGTTTGAGTATGTTGAAGGGACAAGAAACTCTCTCCAAAAACCATCTCAGGTAAATGTGTTGCTTGAAGTTCATCTTCAAAGCTGAAGAAGAATAGAGTAGACATTACAGAATTTAGCATTAGTTTTCTCTAAAATATTTAAAGTAGCAACGTTTTAATAAATCAACTCTAAATTCATCTATTTAATACTGAAGATTTCACAGATGTAACACCAGTAGACACTGGATAGATCCAATATTACTAGCAGCCATAGTGTGCTTTAAAGTAGCAACGTTTTAATAAATCAACTCTAAAGTTACTGTGCACATTTTTCCTGACTAAATGTAACAATAGAAAAGTTGATATACTGACACCATTGGTTAATTAATGATCAATTATCATTGATGTGACCAGGGAGGATTCACAGTTCAAGCATCACCTCCAATCCCCACCATGTGGAAGTTGAATGCCAGGACAAGCATAGTGCAACAAAATTGAAATATATATGAATTCCATGAGTGATGAATTAAGAACTAATGTGACATATGAATAATCAGATCAAAGGGAGGGTCAGACAGACAGGAAAAGTACACACAAATTGATCAAATACGCTGCAGCGCTACTACTACGAATTTGAAGCTCTGCCTATTGCGAGTCTGAGTCCAAGTTTCCGGTCTTCTACATAGACGAATCGAAAGGACGGGAGGGAAGGGCTAGCCGGCTAGGGTTTATGGTGGGGGCGGCTCGTACCGTTGGAGGGAGGCGGCGTTGAGGATGGGGCCTTTGTGGGACTGGATGACCCACCCCTTCACTCGCACGCCGCCGGGAATCGCCTCCGCCCCCGCTGACTTGAGCTCCGCGGCCGTCGGGCCCTCCCACGCCGCCGCCGAAGCCATCTGCGTAGATTGCTTCAAGCTGGGGAATTCGCAGGGGCAGACTGGCAGTGCTGCCCCCTTTGTACTGCAGCACCTGGCAGTTATTTGTCGACCGTTTGATAGAATCCGATGGCTATGATTCACTGCTACACGTCCACTACAGCGCTCGAAGCCTGGAATAGGTGGGGGATGCGAGGTGCGAAATTCGGCACGAATTCAAACCGAAACAGCCAAGGTTTTAGAATGAGTGCGTCTACTTAACAACCGTGTGTTTTATATATTTTATACATTTTTAATACATAAATTTTTTTCACCATAGAATTAAGATCCAACAGCCTCTATCCTCCTTCTGCCTCCAGCCTCCAGCCTTCTTCTACCTCTAGACAATCACAAGATCACAGATCCACAGATCATAACAAACATTTTTTTCTATAGAAGAACAAATCACATAGGACAAATCACATATCGCAGAGGAGAAGGAGGAGGAGGAGAGGCCTACCTGGAGAGCGGGATCCGCCACCGCCGCCGCCCACTCCAGCTCGCGGCGCAGTTGGCAGTCCGGCAGGCCACGCGATAGACCGAGCTGCACCGCAGACGTAGAGCAGAGCCGGTTGCCATGTATTCGATCGATCGCTTCGCTTGGACGTAGCGACGGAGCGGGCGGCATCGGAGGACGCATGTGTGTGTTGCGCGGCGGCAGCAGAACGGAGGGAGGGAGAGAAAGAATCCATGTGTTTTTTTGCGCTAAAACACATGTGTGTTGTATAACATTTCTGTTTAGGATTTATATGGATGATTTGATACCTAAACGTTCCAAAAATGACCAATGTGGTTCTTGGATCAAAGTTCACGATCCTAATGGCACAGTCGCATACTCCCTCCGTCCCTAAATGTCTGTCGTTTTCGCTTCACGAGAAACAATTTTAATTAATATATGTATTAAAAAATATTAATATTTATGATACTATCATTGATAGGTATTTGAATCTAGTTTTTTAATAAATTTATTTGAAGATAGAAATGTTGCACGTATTTTCTATAAATCAAGTCAAAGTTATTGGTACACAAATTGTGGCGACCAACATTTAAGGACAGATGAAGTATATCCTACAGAGGCATGATTAAACATTGCAAAGTACGTTGATTTACATGTATGATCTTGGATACCCTCTGTAGATATAATAACAAGCCCCTCCCTCCTAAATGAAATGTCTTTTTCCTTTTCGATAACGGAAATGACAGGACAGAGGCGTCCATCCCGTCCGGACGTCGCACGCCTCAGCCCGCGGATCCGCCAGCCCAATAAACCTCGCATACGTCCCCTTCCGTTGCTCGCCTCGCGTTGCTCCTGCTTCTTCTCCGCCGCCCGCGCCCCTTCCATTACTCCTGCCCGCTCACCCCGCGCTACTCCGCCGCACGCCCGCTGCTCCTGCTCCTCCGCCGCACGCCCGCTGCTCCTGCTCCTCCGCCACCCACCCCGCTGCTCTGTCGTTGCTCCTGCTCCACGCACCCGTCTCACTGCTCCTACCGCTGCTCCGCCGCCCGCAACCGCTGTGCCTGCTCTGCCACCCACTCGGCCTAACGACGTCGACAGGCATCGCTAACGCAAGGAGAAGCGTCAGGCCTGGCGCGGAAGCCCTATGACCTTGCTTGCTGCTACGGCTACGGCGCCCCAATGCAGATGGCGGAGGAGACCGCACCGGGATATGATGCATGTTGCAAGCTCACATTTCAAATGTTTTAGATGTTTTAGAGGTATATTGCAGGCGTTTCATACGGATGTTACAAAAGTAGATCAGGATGTCGCATATGTTGCAATGGTTATACACATATATTGCAAGAGTCTGTCTCCAATGTTTCATCTGTTTTTTAGACGTATAATGCAAGCATGTTTATTTAGATGTTATATATGTTTTCACACATATGTTCCAAGTGTTTTATATGGATGTTGTATATGTTTTGCAATGGTTTTCAAGTGTTTTCTTTTAAATGTTTTTGCAAGTGTTTTGGACGCACATTTCAAGTGTTTTATCTATCTTCTTTGTATGTTGCAAGTGTTGCATCGAGTGTTGCACATGCGATCCGTGTGGAAAGCTGGAGGGGACGCGAGTGGTCGCCATGGGCGCGCGCCACGGGGCCCCGCCTGGCTACGAGACGTAGCCGCAGGCGAGCAATGTCCTCCCGCGCACGGGCCCAGGCGTGGACGCGGGAAACGGTAGCAATATCCTTTCAATGAGTACATTAATCTCAAGTTTAATCAAACATATATAAAAAAACTATTGATATTTATTATATAATAAATGTTATTATCAAATGTGTTTTTATAATAAACCTACTTAGAGTTATAAATATTAGTATATATCTTTTATAAACCTACTAGTTAAACTTTTAAAAATATGACCTAGGATTACGCTTTTTGGGACAGGTAGTAAAACAGTCAACAGCATGACCACAATAATAATCGATCTCATGTGCAATCAGTAACTGGTTACCGGGGTGGAGGGGTATAGACGGTGACCATCACTCAAATTTCATCGAGCTGGTGCTCCGCAGAAGTCATAAAATGTTCTAAACATCATTCGACGCATTACCGCTCTATGTTTATCGTCAGAAGAAATATAAGTTGTTGATATTAGTATACACACTGGGAGTTTATCAAAGTAAATAGATAATGATACAAGCATAACAAATACATCCAGCACAAGAAAACTAAAAGAAAAAAAAAATCATGTGCTGGTCGTGTTGTAAGCCGCGTCAGCAGAGGACGTATCCATGTCATTCAGGCCAAGTTCCTCATTCTGCTCCCAACTCCTCTGATACTCCTCCACTGTAATCCACAAAGAACACATTCAGTATGAGTATCCTTTAACTTGCAGTATTGGGCACCAGGGGAGCACCATCGTGTATCTGAATTGTTGATAAGGTTAACTTACTGGTTAGCTGACTGTCATCTTCTAACGAATCAGTAGCCGGGGCCACAAATGAAGCCGCCAATCCATCATCAATTATTAGAGTCCAGGCCTCTTGTAAACTCAGAAGCTGGTAAAATACATTGACAAACAGTATTGATTAGGATAAACCTTCTCCATTAAACTATATAGAGAAAGAGAGAGCAAAGAAATTACCTTGGATAGTCTCTCCTTGAAATCTTCCCATTTCTTCTTTTTCCATTCCAGTGTGCTATCGCCCAATTGGAATCTATGTATTCTCTCCAAAGCTGTAAACAGAACACATGTCACATTCAAATCCTCTTCTGAGCTTCAATAAGTGTGTACATACCATTTTGGCATCATAAACAGAGAGGTGAATAAAGTGAAGCAGACCTACCCTCGCATATTTTCACAATTAAACCTTCAACAGTTGTAACCATACCACCCAACGTTCCACATGAAAGCTCCAACTCAAGTTCAGGTACTTTCACGCTAGCTGAATCTGACTGAAAAACAAAACCCAAATAAACAAAGTCGTATATTAGAAGATGGATCCTGTCTAACGAGTTCATTAATCTATACAAGTATGTGGATCCAGTAGAATCACAAATTATCAATCTGTGTAATGAACAAGGTAAAGAAATGCCAACATATTAGAATAATGTTCAGGGGAGTCCACATTGCACATTGCACACTACAGACTGAGAGAAGCCTAAAGGAAAGAAAAAACAACATGCACAGCAGAGAGTTAGATTCTGAAGGACTCGCAAGTTGCAAAATATATTTTACTTGACAGGACATCAGGTCATTAATATCAAATAACCTTTTCCCTAACCTAGTCCAGGGGATGAAGCTACCTTAAGCTACTCCCAGGGCATATTGAACAAATTCGAGTTGTTGCTATCTATTTTCTACCACTTAACCCCCATGGCACCAAGCTATGGACCCACCAATCCAGAAGCAAATCATTTGGTTGGGCTGCAAGCTCAGTCCAGCAACACTATGGTGTCATCCATTGTGTATGCTGTGCTCCCGGTCAACCTATGCTCCCTTATGCCTTCACTCTCTCTGCTTCGGCCAACACAGGGTGTCCATTATCCATTTCGGAATTTTCTAGCCTTGAACCACTGGCAGTGCCTTTTTTATCATTCCAAACTTTTCTGGAAGTGGGTAGCTCTAACTAATTCTCTATTTTGATTTTCTGCAATTTAATTTAGATGCTTCTTGGTTAAATTTTGATGAAACTGTAGGGTTTAGGCTTGAAATTGAGGCTTCCTATAATTTGTGTGAAAAGTTGCAGTCTGCATCACAGTTCAAATTTTTTTTTTGCATTCTGCATGGGACTCCTAGTGTAAAATAAACTTCATTATAGTGTAAAGTAAACTTCTGGAAGCATTATACATGTTCCAATTGACCACCGTAAATCCCATATGTTATATTGATGGTGCAAATTTTGGCTGAAACATTAATATTAAGCTTAAGCACAATGTTACCCAGGAGTTATGTATAGTTAAGCTGAAACAAAACTACTAGTTCTTTATAGAGAATTGAAACCTACAATACTTTCAAATTTAAGCTTTTGAGAACCTCGAAATCAGATGACGGCGTATTTTTATTCAGCCATCACAGCTTCACTAACTATACTATTTTTCTCATTTTTGGCATTTTTGGGGGTACAGGGCACTTGTATTGAACTACTCATTAAAAACAGAAGTTGTATTATTAGGCAATATATACTTGTGAGGCACCCCTTCCTGGATTTTACTCTAGATTTGTCCCTGCCTAATCATATGATCATCAATCTCATGCACAGGCATGCAAGTTGTTGTAAACAGGAAACATCCAAACCTTTATGACATCGCGAGTAAGGTCTCGTGCATTTTGAACACGCAGTGTAATTTTCTTTCCCTTAGCTGGAATCTCACCTCCAGGCTTCAGCTGATTGAACAAAGAGGAATAGAGTTTTAAAATCATAAAAGTGTCAAAATGAGCCTGTCAGGTAACTAAATCTTATTTACAAAACAGTGGTAGGACAATCAAACTGACCTCTGAATTGCGATAACCACACATGTCACATGTTGTCGCCATAACAATCACCTCCTGGAAATATGGGATTTCTAGCAAAGGTCAAGGTTCACATACTTTTTAATTGCAGTGTTAAGCAGAAGAAAGGGACCCCAAAATGTTCTATTCCTATATTCAGGAACCTAATCAAAGGGTTGCAGCTATGTTTCAGGTCCTGGAAACCTGATATATCCCAGCAAGCATGTTTGGTAAATCCAACCAAACGATGCCTGTTTAAGTGGTGTGAAGCCATAAACCATAGCTGCAGCTAGAAACCATCCAAAAAAAAGAAGACTTATATCTTGTTCAATACCCAATATAACCCCATCCCAAATAATAATACTCACCAGTTCAAAAGTGAAATACCATATCTGGATCGACCAACAATGGTAAAATCTTAAAAACAGCCTGGGCAGGCCACATATCAGGAATATTATAACTCTGGCATAAATGTAGGATTCAAAATCAACAGAATCAAAGAGACCTGTATTTCCAACAAACTATCTCATAGCTAATTATTGCATACCACCAAGATATCCAACCATTGCACCCTCTCCAGGTGGTTGATGGCTATTCAAAGTAAGTACCTTAACACCAAAGAAGAAATTTTTCCGGTGGACGTTTCAAGTTTCAACTATGAAAAAATGCAAGCAAAACCCATGGTACAGGAGCGAAGGCAGAAGAGGTGTTCTGACACCAATTACAAGATCCTTTTTCTAATCCTTATTCTAAGAGAACAAACGTCATCACAAAACCAAATAAGCATAGCCAAGATACTATTCATACTCTATTACTGAGCTTGGTCATGAAAATAACTAATGGCTACACAGGCATTATGTGCACTCTATTTTTAATCAGTCAGGAAAAAGGATACTTGTAGCAAAGAAACGCGTGACACATTCTGTTCCACAGGCCCCACATGTTGATGGTAAAGTATCAACCTGTCCACGTGAAATTTATAAGGTACAGATAAACATAATTCGTGAGGAGATTGTTGCCAGCAACTTGGTAGATATACCTCTTCTGGTGCTGCGTATCTACACAAGGCTGCAGCAACTTCGTCGGGGTTTCCCTGAGCTATAGCGCGACGAGCTGCAACAGCTCCAACTGAGCCATGGGGCACACTTTGCAACCCATCAGAATTGGATTCCACAGCTGAAGCAGGCAAAACAGCCTCTCCAGGTTGTTCTGTTGGTGGTTCAGCAAGAAAACCAAGTGCTGCTTGTTGTTCACGAGTCCTTTCATAGAATCTCACAGATAGTAAAGGATCTGATGACGGAGCATGCCTGTGGGTTTATGAAGATTAATCAGTGTGGCAAACCCAGATGAGGCACATGCATGGGGGGATTAATAAAACATACCATATATTATTATCTTCCTATGTATCCAGATGTAGCCATTACATAATAGCACAATCTAGTCAATTCAAATCACTATAGGTTTTTTTAGAGTCGCTATAGGTTATGTGACAAGACAATTCAAACAATATTACCGCAAAGGAAAACAATGTAAAAAATATCATCCAAGTAGTTCAAACATTAAATTACGATGCATAGAACAGTGTCTTCCATATTAGAACACGTATATAAGTCAAAACAATTCTAAATCCCAAACAATATAAATTAGGATGTATTCCCACAAAGAAAACACTTACGGGTTCTCAATAAAGCTGTTTCCTGCAGGGTCATCAAGAACAAAGGTGAATGCAGCCTCTCCTGACCCAAGAGATCTCAACTTCAGTAAAAATTGATCGATGGCTTCAGCCTTCTGAGGATCCACTTTCTGCAGAAGATCAGCTCGTCACCATGTGGAGTAATTCGAATTCCAAAAGCCAAGCATACAAATACCCAAGATTCACCTTCCGTTCGTCTTGAAGAGCCTGCAACTCATCCACAGCTCGCATAATAATCCCTTCCACCTGATTTACAAGGTAAAGAATAAGCAAGCTAGCAGCAAAATAGAACATTTTGAAAGGAACTGTTTCCCAACAAAACAAATACAGCAAGGAATGAAGCATACAGTAGAAAGCGTTCCACGTTGAGCTTCTGGAGGAATCTCAAAGTCCAGCTCTGGAATCTGCAGATGGGTACAATGAATAGTCAATAGTTATAAAAGCAATGCATTCTACGTATTTACTGTAATGCATCAAGAGGATCAAATATCAGCATACCTTGATAGTCGCTGAATCAGACTTCACGACCTGACGATTCAATATCTGGACCAGCACCACTAGTTAGTTATTATAATAGATATGTTTCGGTAACCATAATAATGCTTTATTATAACAAATGTTAAAATAGGTTTGTAGTATAAACATTAAGAGAACTTAATTTTACCAAAATCAACAAATAAGACATAATCGGCATGCAGAAAACACACCTCACTCTGCCCCGACGGAACCTCCAAGCTATAGCAGCATCCCTTGGGTTGGAGCTGTCCAGCAAACTGAATCTCGTTGTTCCTACAACATAAGGATGCAAACTCGAATTATTACCATCAATTGGCAATTAATAGCTCTACCAATCATTGACCTGGACAAATTCCAATAAACAAGAAATTGGGCATATCGTTACCTCTCACCACAATGTGGGCACTCGAAGGCCATCAGAACCACCTGCAGATTCACAAAAGCAAATTTCAAAACTCATGTCTAATCAGCGGTACTAATCAGAAGTTCAGAACAAGCAGCTGACGGCATGAGCACAGAAAGTACCTCCCGGAAGTGCGGAATCAGCGTCAACAGAAGCCTCGTGATGCCCTAACCACATGATAGCGAAGCAACAGTCCTCAGAACCCGCAACAAGCGCCCCGAACCGAAGAGAACAGAACCATGAAGAAACGAGAGGTAAGGTACGGGAGCACTCACGTTCTCGCCGCAGCGCATGCAGAGGGACTCAATCTCGTGGAGAGGCGTGGCGTGCGCCTCCTCGTCCGCAGCCGCCGACTCCGCCGCGGAGCGGAGGTCCACCACCACGCGCCCTTCATCGCCGGAGCTCGCCATTGACGCAGGGAATAGGTGTCAGATGGAGCACTCGCAGACGAGACAGCTCTGTGAAAGCTTATGGCGATCGCTATGCGCTGATTTGGCTATGGTCCTCGTGGGAGTTTGTTTGGCGGCTATGCGTCGCGGCGGGAGGGGAAGGAAAGCGAACGGGGAGAACCGAGAACAGGAGCGAGTGACCTAGGATGCTCTAGAAGCAGAAGAAACGACCGCGCGGACTTGGGCTGGGCTGGGCTGGGACAGAGAACTGAGAAGGACAAGGTTTGCTACATGGACCTGAAACTCTGAAAGGCCTGAAGAAGCCCAGCCGCCCAGCTCCGGTCAGGCGGAGCACTACCTGGCACTGACGAGGGGCGGCGGGACGCCGCCTCTGTTGCAGCACCGCAATGGGGATGGGACGGCACCGCGGCAGGGACGAGCGACCGCTAGGTTGCAGCAGAGAGCTGGACAGGGAGAGGAACCGGACGGGACTACGGGAGCGTGAGCGTCGATAGGGACTACGTGAGCGGCGCACGCGGAGAAGGGATTAGGCGTCGGGAGGGCAGTCCTCTCTGAGCCTGGGCCGGCAGAGAGTACAAAAAATTTGGCCTAACACTATAGAAGGTGTTTTGGGCCACGCCTAGGGCCGTGGCCCTAGTGGCCCTAGGTCCATATCCGCACTGAAAGGCCTGAAGCCCAGTTAAACGTAGTGTCAGTCTAAGGTTCAATCGAAAATGGCCCACTGTCATCTTTATTTTTTCTGTTTTTCCGGCACAATGAAAAGGACAGAGGTTTTGATTGATGCATGCCGTCTCCATTAGCATGAAACACTGAGTCGAGGAGATTCTTTGGATCAATTATTTCTAATGGTTTCTACTCCCACTGTTCCAAATTATAAGTAGCCTTGAATTTTCTATACGTCAATTTTGATATGTATTTAGATATAACAAATGTAGCAAAATCTATATACCAGAGAAGTCAAAGAGACTTATAGTTTGAAACGGATGTAATATAATATTATTTTTTATTTTGCTATAGTTTCTTTGGATCGATCATTCCTTTTGGGAATTAGAGGAGATTAAGGAGAAAATTAGTACCTTTTCTTCTCAGTTTCATCAAATGCCATGAGAGATAGGTGTGTCCAAAGTCGTGAATTTCTTTCTTAACCGCATATCAGAGCTAGGGCAATGCACCACAAATCCACAATGACAGACAAAAACCAGTATCACGGCGGCGCTTACGGCACATTGTCTGTCATGGCAAGTTGGCAACGCAGAATCAACTTGCAGCAGCGAAAGACCAAATTGATGTTAGACACAAAAAAGACCAAATTGATGTTTTTTTTTACAACAAAAGACCAAATTGATGTTGTACTCTTGTTCGAGATCCCTTGCCTCCGTGGGCCATCGCAATATTCGCAAGTTCGCAACCAAAACGGGACACGCCCCGGCGCCAGCACACGGATTAGTGCGCGCCCACAGAACCCCACTTCATCCGGCACTCTACGCCCTAAAACCCTAATCAAGAATTCCCGTCGTCAGCGCCACCTCCTCACCCACCACCCACCCCATCCCCGTCTCAGCCTCGCGCGCCGCCACAATGCAGGCCGCCGCCGCCGTCCGCCACCCGCGCCTATTCCCGCCGTCCCCGGGCCGCGCCGCGCGGCACCGGCGCGCGCCCAGCACCGTGCGCATGGCGCTGCGCGAGGACGGGCCCTCGGTGGCCATCGTGGGCGCCACGGGCGCGGTGGGCCAGGAGTTCCTCCGCGTCATCACGGACCGGGACTTCCCCTACCGCAGCCTCCGCCTCCTCGCCAGCGAGCGGTCCGCGGGGAAGCGCCTCGGCTTTGAGGGCCTCGAGTACACCGTCCAGGACCTCGCGGCCCCGGGCGCGTTCGACGGCGTCGACATCGCGTTGTTCAGCGCCGGCGGGAGCGTCAGCCTCAAGTATGGGCCCGCGGCCGTCGCCAGCGGCGCCGTTGTCGTCGACAACAGCTCCGCGTTCCGAATGGACCCCGAGGTGCCGCTCGTCATCCCCGAGGTCAACCCCGAGGCCATGGGGAACGTCCGGCTCGGGCAGGGGGCGATTGTGGCAAATCCGAATTGCTCGACCATCATCTGCCTCATGGCTGCCACGCCGCTCCATCGCCACGCTAAGGTACCACTTTGGGCACTTTTTGGGATGTCGGAAGCATCATCCATTTATCAGTAATTTTAATTTGAAGCGACGGAAGGCTGTTGCTGGAGAACTGTATAATTCACATGCTATTTAACGGCAGAAACCAAACATTAATATCTGGAATTATGCTTCCTAATACCAAATAGAAGTGTTATCTTTCCAAAAAAAAAGATATATGTATCGTATAGATGAATCAGTACATGTAATCAAACATTGGACTGTCAAATTTTAGTTCTTTTATTACTTTATTAGTTTATTTAATCAGGCTTGAAGATAGAGATCATATTAACAGTTCACAGCATTGCAGTCACTCGCTTTCCAGCTAGTATTTGACTGTTCTGAACCTTCAATTTTCCAGTGTAGTTTTAGCCAACAAAATGGCACATGATTTATTCTTCCATGTTTCAGAAATTCAGTGTTCTGCATCTGTCTGAAAAAAAAATCTTCATTATTGAATTGACTCTATCACAGCATGTCGATTTTTTTGTGACAAATCCTTAGGAGTTGATAACTCAAATTAAGGTTTGCAGTAGGGATTAACCATGGGCTATTTAAGACTTGTACTTATCTGGAACTGTCTTGCCGATTCTGTTTTTTTATATATGGGTTGTAGATTCTGCTTGAATTGCTAATACATTTGTATGGTGAGCTATTATGTTTCTATCACATGTTCTTTTGCTACTAAGATGATTTTTTTACCGTATCCGATTTGCTTGTTGACTGCCCTCCCCCCACGGTCAAACTAATGGCTATTTGTTGATTTGGCAGGTGTTAAGGATGGTTGTCAGCACATACCAAGCAGCAAGTGGTGCTGGTGCTGCGGCAATGGAAGAACTCAAGCTGCAGACTCAGGAGGTACATATTTTCTTCTCCAAGTTACCCTGTCCAGTTAATGTGTTTGTTTGGTTAGACACTCAATGTTTTACACCTTATTTTAGGTCTTGGAAGGGAAGGCGCCAACATGCAATATTTTCAAACAGCAGGTTGCTCTGGCTTACAAATTGAAGTATCCTGAGCACATATTAAATTATTTTAGTCATGAATTCTTCATGCTGAATATCTTTTTCCCTTGTGCAGTATGCTTTTAATATATTCTCACACAATGCACCAGTTCTTGAGAATGGGTATAACGAGGAAGAAATGAAAATGGTGAAGGAGACCAGAAAAATTTGGGTTAGTCTTTGTGGTCCCATTGGTCTGAACAGCTTCCTATGAAGTCTGCATTACTCTGTCAAACTTTTCTTTCATTGTGATAATTTGAGCAAATATGCCTTCTAACTGTACGTTCCATTGCTAGAATGACAAGGATGTGAAAGTAACTGCGACTTGCATACGGGTTCCTGTGATGCGTGCACATGCTGAAAGTGTCAATCTACAGTTTGAAAAGCCACTTGATGAGGTAGGTATTCTGCATATTATGCGCTAACTAGCATTACTTCTCTGTTTGTGGAAATATGTTTGTTTCTTTCATACTATTCTCCTATTTGTGCTAAGTGAATTGATTCTTGGAACCTGCCACGTTGTCATTTGGATAGGTGTTTTATTTGAATTTAACTATTTGTGAATGTGGCAGAAAAACAAATTGGTTATATTTATGTTGTAGTATAATATTGCAACTTCTGAACTTGTGTGCTACTCTAAAGGATACTGCAAGAGAAATTTTGAGAGGAGCTCCTGGTGTTACCATTATTGATGATCGTGCTTCCAATCGCTTCCCTACGCCTCTGGAGGTATTTTGATTCATGCTCATCAATACCACCGCAATACTCACTATTCACACTCATTTCATCTACACAACTGTGCTGTTCCAGGAGAGAGAAGTTGTTCGAATGATTTTACCGACAAAAAGTAACCCTCTGTTTTTCAGGTATCAGATAAAGATGATGTAGCAGTGGGTAGAATTCGTCAGGACTTGTCCCTGGATGATAACCGAGGGTATGTATGATAATGTTTGACAGTTACAGTTGACAGAAACATTACCTTGTTGCGCATTACTTTTGTATGAAAATAGATAAGGAATTTAAGGATAATTATATTGGAACTAATCATCTATTCAATGGCAGGTTGGACATATTTGTCTGTGGTGATCAGATACGTAAAGGTGCCGCACTCAATGCTGTTCAGATTGCTGAAATGCTCCTGAAGTGATTATCGCCGCACTCAATGCTGTTCAGATTGCTGAAATGCTCCTGAAGTGATTATCCTCTTGTCTTTCTCTCCCTGTCCCTAATTGCTGTGATCAATGGTGGACTGTACTCTGATTAGTTTGTGCTCAATTTTGGTCGCCTGTTCTGTATTCTGCTGTGCTAGTGCAATAATTGTGAGACGGGCTTGAGTTATCTACTATACACAAAGCGCGCGTTTAGTTCCCCAAAGTTGGATTTTGGGGCTACTGTAGCACGTTCGTTTTTATTTGTCAAATAGTGTTCAATCATGGACTAATTAGGCTCAAAACGTTCGTCTCGTAATTTTCCACCAAACTGTATAATTAGTTTTTTTTTTCGTCTACATTTAATGTTTCATGTACGGGCCGTAAACATTCGATGTGACAGATATTGTAGCAACTTTTGGGAATTTAGGGTCCAACTAAACAAGGGCAAAAGTGGGCTCGTAAGTTGGGAAATAATGGGTCATCCTTATTCAGCACTCTCGTTTATATCTCAGATTCATCTAACACCCCACCAGTGCCGTCGGGTTCTGTGGACCACAGGGCCCAAAGTGTCCTACGGGATTTACACTTTCATGTGCAAGAATAGGGTCAACCTGATCCAGAAGGCCCTGTGGGCAGCTCTCTAGGGCAGGCAGCATCTGTTGTAGTTCTACTGAAAGGAAGTGTGCAACGA